GAGATCCAGCTGCTTGGTGTCTCTAGTTCAGTGATGGTGAACCTATGGCCCACGTGCCACAGCCAGCTTATGCAATCATTGAAAGCTCTAAAAGGTTCACCATCACTACTCTAGGTCATTCTCTGTCTATCCTGGTCCTTTCTCCTTTGCTTCCAGCCCCCTCCTAGCCCCTGGCCTTCCTTAGCTCCTGGGCTCCCAGTAACTTGGCTCCTTCTGCTCCTCCCACAGGTATTTACAGAATTGCCTGGCTAACCTCTTTGCTGGTGCATGGGAGCCTCAGCCTGAGGGGCCCCTGCCCTTGGACATCCCCCAGGCATCCCCTCAGCAGGTGACTCACCTCCCTCCCCTGGCCTAGGACTCCCACCTGGCCGGGACCTGTAGACCCTCTCCCTGAGCCAATACTGAGGGCGGTGGTGACTCAGGGATGACCCTTTGAACCCTAACTCTTACGTCAGGTTCAGCGCTGTGTGGAGATCGTGAGCAGGGCTAAGAGGCCCCTGCTGCTGCTGGGCAGTCAGGCTCTGTTGCCCCCGACGCCCGCCAACAAGCTTCGGTGAGGATCCCCCAGCCCTGCCACCAGCATCGTGTCCCTGGTCCCTGGTCTTCTGGTGCCTTGCCGGGAGGGGCAGACCCTTGGCTACACTGACCTCTGCTCTGCCTGGATGTCCAGGGCTGCCGTGGAGACCCTGGGCATCCCCTGCTTCTTAGGGGGGATGGCCCGGGGGCTGCTGGGCCGCAACCACCCCCTCCACATCCGGCAGAACCGTGGCGCAGCCCTGAAGAAGGCGGATGTCGTCATCCTGGCAGGTGGGCCTCAGCCCCTTCCTCTCTCTGAGAGCCCCTCCCCACTGTGACTCTACCCCTTTTCCCTGGTGCCCCACCGGCCTGTCACTGCACCCTCTTGCCTCTGCTTCATCTCCTTCCCATTTCAAAGGCTTGGAACGACTCTGAACTTGAAATTAAAGTGAACCTTGACACAGCTTACCCCTGAGGACAAACGCCTTGTGGGCACCTACTATGTCTCACACATATTTTCACATAAAATGTTTTGAATCCTGACAGATGTGTAATAAGGCATATCCCCCCCCCCCCAACCTTTTCCTTAGTACTAGTGAACCCGAGGCCTTCCTACTGAGCTACATCTCAACCCTTTTTTATTTTTTATTTTCAGACAGGGTTTCACTGAGTCTCTGAATTGACCAGGTTGGGCTGAAACTTCTTTTCCTCCTGCCTCAGCCTCCCAGAGTGCTGGGCTGAGAGGTGTGTGACTTCCACCACACCTGACTGGGCTCTTGCTGTGTATAGTTGTGCACTGCTTAACGACAGGGATATACATTCAGAGAAATGGGTCATGAGTCCATTTTGTTGTCATGTGATCATCACCAAATGTACTACACAAACCAGGGTGGTACAGTGTCCCGAGGCTGTGTCATCACACAGGACCAGAGGTGTATGTATGTTGTTGACAGAAGTGTGCTTATGCGATGCGAGACTGTAATAGCCATCCCCAGACGTAATGGTTTAGGATGCTTTTATGATTTCTCAACATGTGGGGCTGGGGTTTCAGCTTAGTGATAGATACTTGCTTAGCATGGCCTGGGTTCCAAACCTAGCACTGTAAAAACAAAATAAGAAAACAATAGAAAAGACGCCCTCACCTTCGGATTTGGCCGGGCTAGTTCGTGAGTTGGGAGTCAAGTCAGCAGGGAGGCTGCCGTGCGATCCCGGTGGGGCTGCGGCTGGTCTGTCTGTCTGGGGCCGGCCGGCCCTGGAGGGTGTAGAATGCTTCAGCTGCGTCTCCGCCAGCACCCAGTGCGCACTGTGTTCTGCGTCCTCAGTTGGCCAGCCAGGCTGGGTCACTGAGTGGAGAATGAGAAACATTGTTTTCCTTTCCCCTTCTTCCCTCCTTCCCTTCCTCCCTTCTCCCTATTCTTCCTTTTTTGCAGTGCTGGGGATGGAACCAGGGTCTCACACAAGCTAGGCAAAGGCTCTATACTGAGCCGCACTCCTGGCTTTTGAGGCCGCTTAAAATCTGTTCTCAGGAATGGTTGACCATTGCTTCTGCCCCACCTTAATGACCAGAGCCACTCCTGAGGTCAGCCCTGATTTGAGAGCTGCAGGGTCATTGCAAAAAAGCACAGGGACCCGTTTATCGTCAGTGACAGTGGATCTGAGGTGAGGTTTTGGGCATTGCCCAGGACGCTGGGCCTCTGTGTACTGATACCCTGTCCCTCGCCCCAGGAACCGTGTGTGACTTCCGCCTCTCCTATGGCCGCGTCCTGAGCCGCCGCAGCAAGATCATTGTCATCAATCGGAACAAGGAGGAGATGCTGCTGAACTCAGACATCTTTTGGAAGCCCCAGGAGGCCGTGCAGGGTGAGCTCTGCGGTGTCCCCACCACATATGTGGTCCTCCTTCTCCTTCTGGCTTATACTGCACCTGCCTTGAGTTGGGTGTCAGAGATGAAGGCCCAGGCCCAGGCCCTCGCCCTGGTCCTAACATAACCGGAGACACATACTTGGCTCTCAGGCCCACGGGTGCCTTTGTAGGAAGAAATGGGAGGGAAATGTGCATATCACGTGCCCAGAGACACACCCTGCCATGCGGCCCATTGTCCTTAGGACAGAGAGCTCATTGGCGCCTGCGCTTTTCTATCATCCTGTGTTTCCTGATTTCAGTCCCATGCCCTGCTTTGCCCATGGTTCTAAAGACATTGAACTCTCTTGAAGACTCCCTTGACTCACTCATAGGTGACAGGTACTCTTGGGTTAAGCAGAGAAGAAGTGGTATCTTTGTGTTCGTTTGGGAAGATCCACTCAAGCAGCTGGTGGGCAGCAGACTGGAAGGGGGACAGGAAGAGGCAGGCAGGGCTGCTAAAAAGGGCCAGGAGGAGCAATGGCAGGGCCTGGAGTGGGGATGGACTGGGTGAGAAACTGAATGTTTCTGAGCTTCCACTTGATCATTTCTCAAGTGGGATGGTGAGAAACCTATCTTAGGCTGTTTATGCCTTCACTGCACTGACCAAAGCTGTGACCGCCTGTGTGCCTGTGTTTGAGACCGCTGCTTGATGGTTAGAGCAGGTTTTCTGGTTGTTCTGGGCCTTTTGCATGCAAAGCAAGTGCTCTACTACTGAGCTACTTCCCCAGCCCACAGTGGAGCTGTTTTTATCAATGCATTTTGGAGGCTGAATTGTTAGGCCTTTGTGATGTGAAGTGTGAGGGAGAGGGGGATCATGGATCCAACTTTGGTTTGAGCTCTCCGTACTCCCTAAATCTCATTTCGCTGGTGTTGCTTCCCTCTCATCCAGACTGCCCTTGCCTGGTTCTGGCAGGCCCTGGGGTGCCTTTCATCTGCTTTGCCCTTGCAGCAGTCCTGGCCTGCTTCCATCTCCTCTGCTTGGATGTTGCTGTTGGCTTCTTGCTGTCTTCTGGCCTCTGGCACTGGGCAGACAGCACTGCTCTGCAACTGTGGCCTCTTCCTCCACCAGGAGATGTGGGCTCCTTTACACTGAAGCTGGTACAAGGCCTTCAGGGCCAGATGTGGGCTGCAGACTGGATAGAGGAGTTACGCGAAGCTGACCGGCAGAAGGAGCAGACCTACCGGTGGGTCTATGGGGAGCATAACGGGAAGGGGCTTTTCCAGCAGGCTGCGGGCGACCCTGCTGACCCTCATCAACCTGTTGCAGGGAGAAGGCAGCGAGCCCTGTAGCCCAGCACCTGAACCCAGTGCGGGTGCTGCAGCTGGTGGAGGAAACTCTACCTGACAACGCCTTTCTTGTGGTTGATGGTGGGGACTTTGTGGCCACTGCTGCCTACCTCGTACAGCCCCGTGGGCCCCTGCGCTGGCTCGATCCTGGTAAGGAAGGGCCCATACCCTGCGCAGCTTTCACTTTCTGGATCCTTCACAGTTAGCTGCTCTCTGTTTTTCTAGGGGCCTTTGGGACTCTGGGAGTTGGTGCAGGGTTTGCACTTGGGGCCAAGTTGTGCCAGCCGGATGCTGAGGTGAGGCACTGGATGTGGGAGACTTGGTGCCTTTCGGGCCATGAATCACTCTAACCATGCCGGATCCCCCTCTACCAGGTCTGGTGCCTGTTTGGGGATGGAGCCTTTGGGTACAGCCTAATCGAGTTTGACACATTCGTCAGACACAAGGTGACCAGGCTGCCCTGAGGGAAGCTTAGAGCCCGGGGTCCTGGGAGATGTCTGGAACTCCTGAGGTGGGATGGCATTGTCTGTCAGCCAGAGGCCTTGATGTTTGGCTGGCCAGGCCTTTGGGGTGAAGGCTTAACTCATCTTTTTCTGCAGATCCCAGTGATAGCCTTGATAGGGAATGATGCTGGCTGGACCCAGATTTCTCGGGAGCAGGTGCCCAGATTGGGCAGCAATGTGGCCTGTGGCCTGGCCTACACTGGTAAGGGGTCTCGGCTGGGCATGTGTGGGTAGAATTGACAGGTCCTGTTTTCGGCCCAGCTAGGCTTATGTTCCTCTCCTGGGCTGGCTACCTAGTGGGCTGGGTCTGACTTTATCTCCTCTTTTAGATTATCACAAGGCAGCAATAGGTCTCGGGGCCCGGGGCCTGCTGCTCTCACGGGAGAATGAAGACCAGGTGGTCAAGGTGCTCCGTGATGGCCAGCAGCAGTGCCAAGATGGCCACCCGGTTGTGGTCAACATCCTCATTGGGAGGACAGACTTCCGCGACGGCTCCATTTCCGTATAGAACCTCCAGGGTCAGTATGCTTGGCTTACTTCCTGCACCTGGACTGTGCCTGGCTGGTCTGGAGTCTTATCCTTGCCTGTGCTGGACCTATCCCACACGGCCAGTGACTGCACAACCCTCTGAGTTGAGGGGATGGAGGATTAAAGCTCCTGGGGGCATGTTGGCAGCCCCGAAGAGCTTTGGGCCTTTGTTTCCCCAGGCCTAACTGCACTATCTCCCCTCTGCTCTTACAGACCAAATAAACCACCTCTGGCCCACATGGGTCGAAGGACTCAAGTCACAAAACCTGTGCATACTGATTTATTGTTCACAAAGATGGAGGTGAGGGAAAGAAGAGGGAAACAGGAAGGGGACCTTACTCTCCCACTGGACTACTGGGGATTCTGGGGTACCTAGCAGGGTTAAATCTTAACCCCTCCGTGGTCCCTGGAAGTCCCTCAACCTGCTCTCCAGGCAGGTCCATGCACACTAGTCCTCAGACACAGACACACACATGCACGGAGGCAATAAATAGGTTTCGTACCAAAGTGCCCCAGCCTGACACTTCAGGTGGGGAGGCCCCTCTGAAAGGGAGGGGCTAAGTGCTTAATTTTTTCTGGGGAAGGGGAGGAGAGGAAGGCAGGGGCCAGACGCCGCCATCTTTCCCCATTGGCTAGTTGGAGGCCTACCATGGGGTCTTCCCTGGAAAAGAGGGTGGGGAAACCAGCTGTTTTTTTATAAGCCCCAGGCTGCTCCTATCTAGCTGGAGCCCAGAATAGGGGCTGCCCACCCTCCAACAGCACCTCATGATAGTCCTTGCGTCCGCCAAAGGAGGGAGAAACAGAGTGCAGTGCTCAAAGCTAATACTGATTTGGTTGGCAGCAAGAGGACTCACCCGGGGTGTCTCAGCACCCCGAGTGATGCTCACAGTAACTGGCGTGTACCCCAGCAAAGGGGGTCAAGAGAGGCCAGCCTAGCAAGCAGAACTGCCTTTTGGCAACAAGAGGCAAATAAGTCCTGGTGCTCAGGAAAGATGGCCAGTCCCTCAAGTCCTGTGCCTGGCCTTACAACTAGTGCCCAAATAAGGACACTTTCGAAACTGGGAATGACTTTTAAATGAGGAGGCTGGTGCCTTGGCAACTCCCTTAGCAACCAGGAGCTCGGCCTAAGCAACACTTCTGGTCCTTAGGTCACTAAGGGCCTTGCCTTAGTAACGAGGGGCCCGCCCTGTTCCACGTGTTCAGAGGCATACATTTATTTGCTTGGCGAGCTCTCTCTCCAGGTCCAGGATGAGGGCATCGAAGTCTTTGAGATTCAGGTGCGGATTGAAGGGTGCATCAAACTCATCTTCGAAGTCAGCTGTGCCTCTTTGCTCACCGGCTTCATCTTCGTCCTCGCTGTCACTGCCTGTCACGTGGTCGTAGTCAGGCCCGGACAGGAAGTCGCGCCCACACGGCAGGAAGTCCCGCCCACAAACACTCCAGTCGCCGGCATAACGGTTGCTTGGGGGGCTCTCCGGGCCTCCGCGACCGCGGGGCCGAGTTACCACCTCGGGGCTCGCTAGCGGCAAGTGCAGGGATGGCTGTTGTTTGGGCCGCAAGTTTGGGGCGACGTCTGGAGCCTCTGGGGACCAGCAGGGATCTGAGGGAACAGAGGGAGCGCTTGTAATGATGTCGCACACAACTAGGCCCTTTGGGAGGGCAAGGCCTTGGACTGGATTAAGATTTCATTGGTAAGGGCTGAATTGGTTGCTTAGGCAGCCAGGCTTCTGATTGGCATGCTGAGGGGTGGGGCCTCTGGCCGCAGCAATGGTGCATTGGTCAGATCTATGAGGGGGCGTGGCTTGCTTTAACCGGACTCTGATTGGATGCTCATGAAGGCGTCGCCATAACAGCCTGCCTGGATTGGTGGCCCAGGCCTTGGGTGGGCTCACCTGGCCAAGATTGCAGCAAGTAGTGTAACACTTCAATGTGGCGCTTGAAGTCCACCGCGCTGGTGACTCCTGGGCCACTGCCGCGGATGCGGGGCCGGGCGGGTGCCTGGCGCGACGGCAGCAGTACAGGCCCGAAGCATACGGCCAGATTCTGCGGGGTCATGCGGTTGTGGGCGTGGAAGGAGGAGACAAGGCGCAGGTGGTTCAGGAGAAGAGTCAGCGTGGCCTGGAGAGAGGGTTAGGAGGGGAAGGAGGGCATGAGGCAGGCAAAGTCAGGGCCCTGTCTGTGGGAGACCAAGGAGACCCAGTGTGGGGAAACTGAGGTCTAAGGTCTCACAGTTGGAAGGTGGCCGAGCTATTAGCTTGACCCTATTTAGCTAGAGGGCAGACTGAAGCCAAGGGCAGTTTAGCTTTGGAGTGGCTGAGCTGAGATTCCATCCCACTCCTGTGGGTTAGGTGGGATTGCCGTGAATCCCATTTTACAGATGAAGGTATTGAGGTGCAGAGGGAGAAAAGACTTACGATCTCACAGCCAGGAACTTTCCTTGCGGCAGGTTGGCAGACCTGTCTTGAGAGTTTACATTTTTAACATATCCTGGCTGTGCATCCTTGGGCAGCTCACTCAACTGCTCTGGGCCTTGGCTTCCCAATCCATGAATGAAAATACCAGTAGCACTTGCTTTGTAGGGGTGTGATGGTCCCACAAGTTCATGCCTATCACAGGCTCAGGAAGAGGTGAAGAGCTCTTCTGGTATTGCTCACCCCATTTCCCACCGCACTCACCAGGGCCAACTCACCCTTTCCACATCTGGCAGGCAGCTGAGGAGCCCTCGGGTACCCTCAGGACTTGGGGGAGTTCTGCTTGGGGGCCCTCGGGCCATGGCCTCCAGGACCACCTGATAAAGGGGCTGGGTGATGAGTGGGGTGGGCAGCTCTCGAAGATAATCCTTGAGGATGCCTGTGGACACAGAACCCCCTGCAGTCAGGGCATCAGTGGGTTCTGAGACCAGAGGGTTCCCTGGGACTGGGAGTAGGGGGGAAGAGGAGGACAGGTGCAGGAGAGTGCAAACAAGGTTACACCAGAGGGGTCAGCAGGACCACCAGCCCAGCCTTGAGCTCAGGGTTGAAAGGAGATGAGCCTGCAAAGGTGATGGGGGTCATGCTGACCTGTGATGACATTGATGTCAGGGTATAAGTCCTCGGAGAGGCAGACAGCCGCACTGTCTCGCTCAAAGGCATCCCGAAGCTCTTTCTTCACTGCTGCTGAGCCACACAGACGGTACAAGCCTACTACCTAGGGGTGGGGAGAGAGGGTGTCCTGTCTGGGCTGCACACTAATCAGGGCCTACTGCTGTGGGGGCTGGAGGTCTGGCCAGGAAGGTGACACTATGGGCTGGGAGGGTGGCACGGCTGTAAGAAGCCTCGGTTGTGTTTCTGCTCCTGTGACATCTGTCATTGGATCCCCACCCTCGCTGCCTGGACAGTGTGGCCTCATAAACCTTCTGCTTCTACCACTTCCTCTGGCTTCTCAGATCACTTGTCATGTCCTCCTCCAGGAAGCCTTCCCTGAGTACCCCAATCAAGTCAGGTCCTGCCTTAAGCTCTTGCAGCTGCCAGGTTCTTCCCAGCCACTTCTTTCTTTCTTTTTGGTTTTTGGGACTAGGTCTTATTATGTGTTTCAGGTTGGTCTTGAACAGCATGGTCCAGGCTGGCCTCAGACTTGCTGTAATTCTCATGCCCCAGCCTCCCACATGCTGGGGTTGCAGGAGTGCTCCACCACACCCAGCATCCAAGCCACTTTCACCTTTGTGACCTATTAGTCATGCCTTTCTCCCAGGAGACTGAGTTCCAGGGGGGCTCAGGTCCTATTACTGAACGGACAGATGAACCAGGGCTCTGACCTGGCTGCGGTGATCTGAGAGGAGAGGACTCCTGGCCTGTCTAGGCTGGGGTTTAAATTAGGAGTAGGGTAGGCTGATGGAGGGTCTCGTGTTCATACACTGGGAGTGCTGGGGACTGGATCTAAATACTGGGGGCCAACGGGGAAGGCACAGGGGCTCACCCGCAGCCCTCGGCGCTCGATCTGTGCAACACACTTCTGGATGATGAGAGGCACCTGGCCCGGGGGCTGCTCCCGCTCCACTAGCAGCGGCAGGGGCAGCCCGAAGACACGGGGTTCAGCCATGGTGGGTGCTTCCTGCTGGTCTGACAGGGTAAGCTTGGCATAGAGCAGCCCCTGGGGCTCCAGGCGGACGGCCAGCTGCTGGGCCTGGCAGCCTGAGGATACAAGAAGATGTGGGCCACGAGTGTCCCACAGGTTCCTGGGTCCCAGCCTCTCCTAATCCAGGTAACACTTTTCCCCTAGAGCCCAACTCTCTGGACACTTTAGGGGAGGGGGCACTCTGGGCTGGGTGCTGCACCCTGTCCTTCCAGCCTTAAATCCTATGTCTTACCTCGGAAGACTGTGGGCAGCAGAACAGTGCCCTGGGCACAGGGCCGGTGCCGCCTCACGCCAGGGTCCCAAGCAAGCACCAGAGCTCGTAGTAGCCGGGCAGCCTCCAGCTCCAGGTGAAAGGTGTGGTCCAGCTGCAGGAAGTCTGGCCCTCCTTGAAGGGGCCCTGTGCGGGCCCGTGCCACCCCATCCACTTGTAGCAGGCAGCAGAGGTCTCTTGGGGTGGCCCCTGGTGTTGGCCGCAGCCCCCTCAGCCCATATAGGTGCAGGCTGAGGCGGCCCCAGAGTGCAGCCGGGGGCACGCGGGCTGGTGGGCCTGCTTCATAGGGCTGAAAGGCAGTGGATGATGGGGGCCCCACTGGGCGCTCAGGGGAGTCGCCATCACTGAGGTACCCAGCCCTGGGGCTCCGAGTGCTCCCAGTTGCTGCTGTCCTCCCAGAGGCCCCCACACTGCTGTCCAGGTGGTAGCGGCTGATGACAGAGCCCGCTGGGGCAGCCCTCTCACGCTCTCGGCCAGCCCTGGGGCCTCGCAGGCTCAGGCGACGCCGAAGATCGGGGAGCTTCTTCATCTTCATGGAGAGGCGCCTGGCGGGGCCTGGGGACTTGGTGCGGGAGGTTTTGGTTGGGGGGCTGGCGGGGGCTGCACCTGCGAGGAGAGCAGACTTCAGGGTTCAGAGCCTGGGCCCAGCCAGGAGTTTGAGGCTGTGGTCACCTAAGGTTAGGGGTGAGGTTGTCATCCAGGGTGTAGGGGTGAGGCTGTGGCCACTGGGATATGCAGAGGTGAAGGTAGTAACCAGGGTGACATTTGTACCTACCTTGGTGGGTTGGGCTCTCTGGCTCAGCAGAGCCTGGCTCAGGTGCTGGGGGTCTGGGGTCTTCCTCAGGGATGGGGTTGTACCAGATCTCGCCAGCAGGTTCCCCACTGCTAGGTATCCCTGGCCCCAGAGGAGTCTCCTCAGGTGGTTTGACCCCTCCCAGCACCCATCTGCGGCTGCTAGGCTCCAGGCTTTGCAGATATGCCCCCCATGCAGGGCTCCGAGGTGCTTCGGGGCTGGGGTATCCCTCTGCTCCAGTCTGGGACCCTTCAAGGGTCTGGGGTTCCGGCTCTGGTGAGGTGGGCTCTAGGCGCTGGGTTGGGCGGCCTGGAGGGGAACAAAGGGAGTGAGATGCAGGGCCCCAGCACTCCCAAAACAGCCCCAGCCTAGGGCTCTTGGAGTCAGCTTAGTACTGACCTTCATTCCACGCCACTGATTGACACGTGGGATGCCCTGTCCTGTCCTGAGGCCTCAGTCATTGCCCCTAGGGACCTGCTGTCTTTTGTGGAATGGGCAGCCGCAGGCCAGCGATCTCCTTGGTCGCCAGCTCAGTTCCTAGCATTCCAAACTGGGCTGAGTCCTTCCAGCCTCAGGGCCCAGGTTATGGGCCCTTAGGCCCTCTGATCTAGTTTCTACTCTTCCAGCCCCCTCGTTAATCCTAGCAGGTCCTGTCCCTGCTCACTGGGTGGACTTACTTGAGTGAGTCCCTTCCCTTTCCTGAGCTGCAGCATCTTCCTGCGGAAGAAGAGACATAGCGCTCACCTCCAGGAGGGCTTCCGGGGGCGCAGTGTGGGAAGGGCTCCCTAGACACCATGTCCCCACCAAGCTCACCCCCCCGCCCTGCCCCAGTGCGGACGCTGGCTTGTGCTGCTGTGGAGACAGAAGCAGGTTGACAGTGCCCTTCACCTGCAACCCAAACTCTGCTCCCACCCTGGGGTGGGTCCTGTCCCTAGCCCAGCCCAGAGCCCACAGTCAAGGCCTTGTGGTCTCCTGTTTGCTCCATCCCGTCTGACATCACGGACTATTTCCTGTGTGTGTTTATGTGTGGGCACCCCCGTCCCTTCTGCGTCTCTGGGAACCTTGGAATCTCTGGGAAGAGCTGGGGAGGAGAGGTCAGATCAGTGCAGTGGTGGAGCCGCTCTCCTTTAACTGGTTCCTTCCCAGACACCTCCCCTCCTCCCATGAAGCTCCAGCTTCCCTAAGGTCTTGGCTTGCTGTTCCTTGACCCCTTCTCTTGGCCACCTCTGATTCCTACCTCCCAGGAGCCCGTCTCAGAGGCCAGTTATGAGTAGCATCGGCCAGATCACTGTTTAATTCACTCCACCGGCCCTGCGCAAGCCACCGCAACTGCCACGTGCCTCAGTTTCCCTATCTGTATAAACGGGAGTTTCCCCATGTGTATAAAGGGGACAGTCTCCCCAGGCTGCCCAAGGCAGGCACAGCAACAGCAGTGCGTGGACAGGAGGTTGTGGGATGCAGGACCACGGCTCCTTCCCAGGTCCCATCGTGGTGCCCCCCGCAGCGTCCTGGCCTCCCGCCCCTCCTCCTCGCCACCCCATTTCCTGTCGGGGAGAGGCCCCCTCCCGGGCCTTCCATGGAACCATCCCGGCTGCCCGCACGTAACGGTCCGCGCCCCCCAAATCCCCGCAGCCCCCGGCTCCCAGGAGCCCCGCGCACCCCGCGTGCGCCCCGACCCGCAGGGGGCTCCTTGGGGCGCCACTGTCCCGCCAGCTGTCCCTCTTCCTGGGGTCCTGGGACCCCGGGCCGCGCGCGCCGTTCCTTGCCTCCCTGTTCTGCCCCATCCCGGGCCCCTCACCGCGCTCCTTGGCATCTGACTTTTTCCGGGGAAGTTTCTCCCGGCCTCGAAGGCGAGAGAAGGTTTTCCACAGTAGCGGCTCGGCCATGCTGGGGCCCGGGCGGCCGAGCCGAGGGAGCTGAGTGCGTCCCCCTGCCCATCCCCGTGTCCCGCCCCGCCCCGCGCCCCGCCCAGGCCTCCAGCCCGCCCAGCGCCCCGGCCGCGGACAGGAAGCGCATTCCGGGAATGTTTGGCCCAAACTTTTTTTTTTTTTCCCTTCCCCTTCCAGCTGCCCGGGCGAGCAGGCGTTGCTGGGAGATGTAGTTGCCCTGGGCCTGGAGGGAGCAGAATGGGGGCTGCAGGCTGCCCTCCTCTGCTCCAACTGGGAATTGATTGGCACAGGCCTGGCGCTAAGCTGCCCTCTTACCCTCTCTCTAGATGATGGCATCTGGTCTGTCTCCAACACGCAACCCCAACACGCAACCCTCCTCTTCCCTTTCCATCCATGACTTCAACTTGGCCCAAGCCCTAGCATCACTCCTTTCAATAGCCTGCTCTCCGCTGACCCTCTTCCTTGGTCCCCTCAATGCCACCCCTGGCTGCCTCCTCATCCAGCTTGCTTATAACCTCTCAGCCCACATTCCAGTTCCTGCGGTTGTTTTAAAAGACTGTCCCAACACTTGGTGTAAACAGCTGCTTTATGACGCTCACTGCTGCTGTGGGTGGGGAATAGGGACAGGGCAGAACTGGCATTACTGTCTACTCAGTGGAGAGGGTTCCCTGGCTAGGAGTGGCACAAAAAATGGGAGAGAGGAGAAACAGGTTTACCTGGAGGCATCTTCAGTCATACGATGTATCAATGAGTTTTTCATTAGGATAATGAAAGATCCAAGAGTGGTAACTTTATAAAGCAAAGAGGTTTGTTTAACTCACAGTTCTGGAGGTCCACCAGCTTGGTGCTGGCAAAGGTGCCAGGCTTTAAGCATCACAATGCAGGAGAGAAAAGTGGAAAGAAGGGGCAAGATCCTATCCCCAGACAGGAAGTCAGAGAGCCACTCTGTGGGGTTGGGGTGGGGCTCACTATTATAACAACCTACTTATCCCTGAGAACTGCCTGAATTTCTTCTGAGGGCACAGTCCAGTGACCTAATGACCTCCTTCTTGGGCCCATCCCTTAACATGGCCACACTGGGGACCAAACTTCGCCCTGGGGCCACATCAGGCCCGCATCATTTGCACAGGTCTTGCACTGATGCCTGCCATGGGCAGAAATACCCATTGCAGCTGTGGACTAGGGCAACTACATGGGCCTTTTCATATGTCCTCCTGTTCCTTTCAGTATGGTGGCCTTAGGTCCTTGGACTTCTTAGACAACTACTCAGAGGTTCAAAAATGAATAAGGCAGAAGCTACATTACTTTTTCTGATAGCACTGGACATTACACTTTGTGCTGATCAACTTTTAATGTCTGGGACAAAACACTTGACACCTGCCGTTTAAAGGAGGAAGGCTTTACTTTGACTCGTAGTTTCAGAGGGTTTAGTCCATGGTCAACTGGCCTCAAGGCAGAAATGGCAGGGTGGACGGACATGGAGGGTAAAACTGCTCAACCCATGAAAGCCAAGAAACAGAGCAAGTAAGGAAGAGTCTGAGAGAAAGAGGCTAGGGACCAGATATTCCTCAAGATGATGACCCATGACCTATGCAGACACACTCAGAAGTGTACTTTTTATTTATTTAATTTTATTTATTTATTTATTTATTTATTTATTTATTTATTTATTTATTTATTTATTGTCTTTTTGAGACAGGGTATCACTATATAATTCAGGCTGGCCTCAAGCTCACTTTGTAGCCCAGGCGGGTCTCAAACTTGCAACGATCCTCCTGCCTCAGCTTCTCGAGTGTTGGGATTACAGGTGTGTGCCACCATGCCAGGCAAGTGCACTTTTTTTTTTAATGTCTCAGGCATCTCTCAAGCTAATCAAGTTGACAATCAAGATTAACAATCAGACATACTTGTCATTTCCAGCATCAAGGATTGGGGACCTAGACCTACATCTCTCAATGGGAGTCATGTTTCATGAACATGGATGGATATAGGGTTGGAGATGTTCTTGTGGAAATATAATCCACTTTACCTCTGTGTTCCGTATTCCAAACTGGACCTAAAACTGAAACAGATTATGGCACAGTCCTGCTGGTAGTCTTTCTGTGATTGCTCACCCTTGCCCTGAATAAAATTACGTTCCCACCATAACTTACAAGACTTTTGGTCCCATCTCTTTTCTGCCCCCTTTACTGTCCAGTTTCCTTCTGTCATCCTTTTCATCAAGCTCTTCCCACTCCAGAGCCTTTACGCACACACACACACACACACACACACACACACACACACATCTTTTGTCTGAGAAACCCTCAAGTTTTCCTGAGATTGCCTCTTGTATTTTAGGTTCAATGGTACCTCCTTGGGAGGCTCTCTTTCTGCCTGTCCACTGCTGTCCAGCTCTTACTACACCATTCTGTTTCCTTTCTCCTAACATACCACAGTTTAAATTGAAGAGTTGAAGGGTGTGTTCACTTATTTGCCTCCTCATCCAGATGAGGCTCACCTGTGTTTCATTGCTGGATATTCATATAGGTGATCAGGTGCCAGGAGGGGTGGTCAAGAGCCCTGAACATAGGAAGGTGTGTGTGTGTGTGTGTGTGTGTGTGGTTTTAATGTCTCACTGTGGTTCTCTGCATTTATCCTACTTGGAGTTCCTTGAGATTCTTGGATATGTGAATTCATGTCTTTCATCAACTCTGGGAAGTTTTAGACCATTATTTCTTCAAATATTCTTTCTGCCCATTCTCCTCTGTGTTTTCAGATTCCCACTGTGTGTATGTTGGTAAATTTCCGTACATCAATACATCCCTTAGGATTTGTTCATTTTTCTTGGATATGTGTCTTTGTGGAGAGTTAGTCTGGAAAAGTGTGTGTGTGTGTGTGTGTGTGTGTGTGTGTGTGTGAGAGAGAGAGAGAGAGAGAGAGAGAGAGAGAAAGAGAGAGAGAGAGCGAGCGAGAGAGAGCACCCTCCTCCCTGTTTAGATGCCTTGTGGCAGTGGCTGACAGTGAAGAGAGGGCTTTAAGTCAAGACTGCACAAGCCCAAGTGAGGAACAGATCTAGGGTTCTCTGGAACCTCAGAGGAGCTAGGGCTCAACAGCAGTCATTGGTCCCATCTCTTAGTAACATCAAATAACTAAGAAACACCCTCAAGCTGGGTGCAGGGGTGAATTTCTGTCATCCTAGCTACTCAAGAGGGTGAGGCAGGAGGATCCTTGAGCCTAGAAATTTGAGACCAGCCTGGGTTACATAATGAAAACAAAAAACAAAAACACCCTTATACCATAAGGTATTTATTATGTTTTGTAAACCTGTTCAATAGAGTCTTTGTCTTTTTCTATTGTGTTTATTTGTCTACATGTAGCCCATTTAATTAATCACTGGCTCTAATTCTTGATAAGGGAGACTAAATTATTTGTAAATTGTATATTATGAAATGGTTGTGAATGCTGAGTTTCATGTTTAATAAAGTTTGTAAACTTATTCTTGTGTCTTTTGGAACTGCAGTACAGTTTTGAGAGAGAGAAAGAGAAAGAGAGAGAGAAAGAAAAAGAGAGAGAGAGAAAGAGAGAGAGAGAGAGAGAGAGAGAGAGAGAGAGAGAGAGAGGGAGAGAGAGAGAATTTTTTCTTTCTTCCAAATGTCCTCATTAGCTGCAGGCCCAATGTATTGTGAATTTGGTGCCTGGTGGATTAACCAGCCCCTGGAACATACAGGAATTTATTGAAAGAACAAATGCAGGCGGAGAGGGCTGGTTAGAGTTCAGTAGAACTCTGCACCTTTGTGGCAGACAGTGAGAGTTGGTGGATAAATACCCCAGCCCTCTCACCCTTGGTGTGAGATGACTGAGGAGCGTGTGCTGCCCTGTCCCATGGGACTGAGGTCCAGTGGCCCACTATGGAAACTTGCTTAATAACGCATCTTTTACTGACCTTTGCTTCCCTGTCTCCACTTTCCACTCCAAGCATTTCCTGATGGGTCACTCCTCAAATATACCATTTGTAGTTGAACCCTTGGTGCAGGCTCAGATTTCAGGAGATGCAAAGAAAGACATTCTCAGCTATTACCAAGAAATCAGATAACAAATGCTGATAAAGCTCAAGGGGAAGAAGAGCCCTTCTTCACTGTTGGTGGGAATGTAAATGGAAACCTCTATGAAAATCAGCATGGAGATTCCTCAAAAAACTAAAGAAGTTCTGTGCCACCCAGCTATTCCCCACCTAGATATCTTCCAGAAAGCATCATAATGATACATACACACCTAGGTTTATAGCAGCACAACTTATACTAGCTAAATCTTGCAAGCAGCCAGTATGTCCACCAACAGATGAATAGATAAAGGGAATGTGGTTCACATATAGTGAAGTATTATTTTACCACAAAGAGAAATAAACCAGAGTCATTTGTAGGAAAATGGATGCACCTTGAGACCACAATGTTGAGTGAAGTGAATCAGACACAAAAGCTCAAATATCCCATTTTATTTCTTATATAGAAGCCCAAAATATAAATAAAGAGCAAAATAAAAGGTGCTGGGGGGAAAAAATGACATTCTCTGTAGGCCTAGGTTTCCCCATTTGTCTAAAGGGAAGAATAATCCCTGTTGCCAAAGCTATGGGGATGGCCTTGTGTCTGTGGGGCTAGGTCCCCTGTTGTGGTTTAGCTGTGGAATGCACCTGAGGCTCACCTGTTTGGGGGCTTGTTTCCCCAGTGCAGCATGTAAACAGCTGGGACTTTGGGAAGTGGACGGATCATGGGGGCTCCAGCTTCCTCAATGCGTTAATCCATTCATGAGCTCATAGCTCAAAAGGCTTATTTAGGGGATGGGACCCAATTGGATGAAACATGTCACTGTGGTGTGGCTTTGAAGAGTCCATTTTGTCCCTGACCCCCTTACTTGCTGGTTGTCTCTTTTGCTCTGCTTCTGGCTGGCCCTGGGACACTTTCATCAACTGGCCACTAAGCCAGGAGCTGCCCTGGCATCTATCTTGAAAGCCAGGGTGCTAAGGTGGTCATTGTAGTCTTATTTTAGACACTGCAGGCTGGTTGTGCCAGGAGAAAGGTATAGCACCTGATAGTCTGGAGTGGGCAGGCCTTCGACAGACATTCATGCCATCCTTAGCTCCTCCCTTTTTCCTCCAGGTCATTGGGATCCATGTGTTTGAGGAAATTCTGGCCATTGACTTGCTCCTAGGAGGTAGCCTTTAAGCCCATAGACTATCTTATCTGAGAATAATCTCTTTGTACACCTCTAGGCCATAGTAGGCAGTTTATGCCAAGAGTGGGATTTATGGTGCAGGCTTTGAGCCACACTCTGAGGCTGATCTCTGAAAGGGCTGAAAATTGAGTAACTAAGGCCTGCTACATTAGTTAATGTAACAAATACACATGGTTGTTTTAGTCAGTTTTTTATTACTATAATGGAATACCTGAGGCAGGCTAACTTTATAAAGAGGTTTAGTTCATAATTTTGATGGCTGAATGTCCAAACAGCATGGTCCAGGATTTGGTAAAGATCTTCTTATCTGAATCATCTCAGAAGATT